AGGAAGAAAGGAAGGAAGGAAGGAAGGAAGGAAGGAAGGAAGGAAGGAAGGGGCATTTATGTTGAAGGTGTTTTTTTTTAAATCGTGTTTTTCTGCCAAGCAGGAATAATTATTCATATTGTTATAGTTATTATTTATTGAATTTATCCTCCACCATTCTCCCCAATCGGGACCCAAAGCGGCTTACATCCTTCTCCATTTTATCCTCACAACAACCCTGAGAGGTAGGGCAGGCTGAGAAATTGTGACTGGCCAACCGTCACCCAGCGAGCTTCCACGGCAGAGTGTGGATTCAGACCTGCGTCTCCCAGATCCTGGTCTGGGACTCTAACCACAGCACCATACTGGCCCTCATTGTGTTGTGTGCATGTGTGTGTGGGGACACACTGTTGAACGTTACTACCCTGCCTGAAGTGGAGAGTTCATAAAAACCAGCAGTTTTCGTTTTCCCCCAAAGCAGGGAAATACTCAACATTCAACCTGTGATTTCAAAAGCGCTGCTGAGGCCCTTACAAAATCATCCACCCTCCAGAAATCACGAACATTGTAAACAGGTTTGCCAACCTCCAGGTTTCCCCTGGAGACCTCCTGCTATTACAACCGATCTCCAGCTGACAGAGATCAGCTCCCCTGAATAAAATAAGAAAAATAGGGCTCACCAAAGAAAATTACTCTTCTATATCTTTAACACACTTAGTTGTATTATCATACCAAATTTCCTTATAACAAATTCCCTGTATTAACTAGCATTCATTCATTATATACATTTAACATAACATAACATATAAACACACATAAGTACATTTCATGAACATAAGCAAAGCCAGTAAATGATAATATGAGTACAATACAAAACAATACAAAATCTTGATGTAGCTATTCTTGACGTTGTTTTGGCTTTGGGAAAACATTAGAGAGAGGCTGCGTTGATCCATATTATTGTCATTCCGGCTTGTGCCGCAGCAAGAGATTGGTGACAAACACCAACTGAGAGATAGAGTTGAAAAAGACATACCAAACCGCTGTTTAATCCTAGGGAAGCGTGTTCTCTTTATCACTCACATTCCTTGGGTCTACATGTTTTCAAATGTAAAAAGGTTTCCTTGCTCGAAAGCCAGCTGAATCCGACTCTAGGGTTCCGGTGCTCATCTCTGTTTCAAAGCCGAAGAGCCAGCGCTGTCCGAAGATGTTTCCGTGGTCATGTGGCCGGCATGACTAAACACCAAGGCGCACGGAACGCTGTGCCCTTCCCACCAAAGTGGTACCTATTTATCTACTTGCAATTTCTTGCTTTCGAACTGCTAGGTTGGCAGGAGCTGGAACTAGAGACGGGAGCTCACTCCGTCATGCGGCACACTCGGGTCTCGAACTGCTGAACTACTGACCTTCCACAGCCTGCAGTTCAGCGTCTTAATCACTTGAGCCACCGCAGCTCAAATGAAGGCATGATAAACACTGTTCGGGAACTCGTATAATGAGGACTCCTCAGTTTGCTTTGCATACTTTACAGCTCCGTCAGGACGTCTCAAAGAGTAAACATTCCAGCCAAAACAGCGTCAAGAATAACTACATCATGTTCCAAAACGCATGGAAATGGATTACCGCCTTGATTCATATCTACATTTATCGCTGACTGGAAACCCCCATGGACTTTCATCTACAATGAATGAATGCTAGTTAATACAGGAAATTCGTTATAAGGAAATTTGGTATACTAATACAACTAAGTGTGTTAAAGATACAGAAGAGTAATTTTCTTTGGTGAGCCCTATTTTTCTTATTGTAATTACACCAAAGCATGTCTAGTTCTGGATACCCCTGAATAAAATGGCTGCTTTGGAAGCCGGACACTATGGCACTGTACGATGCTGAGGCTCCTCCCCTTCCTAAACCACACCTTCCCCTGGCTCCACCCCCAAAATCTCCAGGTACTTCCCAACCCAGCGTTTTTGCAGAATGCCGGAGGTACCACAGACGTTGGGCCATCTGACATTCCGTACTTGTTTGGAACGTCGACGCCCCACCATGACACGGTCCCGGGCTCTCTTCCCCCCGCCCGCCCGCCGTCCTCGTCCTCTGCAGGCGGAGGGGACTCTTATTAAACATTTAATAAGAATCTGGCGAGGCTCCAAAATTAACGATATGGAGCGTCCATCTGAAGGAACAAGAATCGACAGCAACGCTTACACGGAAATGTCCAGAAGCGCAAGGAAAAGCGGGGCGGTGCAAAACCGAAGCCGGAAGGGAGCGTGAAGGCGTTCTACTCTGTCACCCTTGCCGCGCTCCCAACGAAGGCGGCTCGAATTTACAAATCCGCTCACGTTCCAAAACGCATGGAAATGGATTACCGCCTTGATTCATATCTACATTTATCACTGACTGGAAACCCCCGATGGACTTTTTTGCAAGAAACACGGGAGGGGAAATGAACCGATGATCTATAGATTCGAAGATTAAGAAGGGGAAAGGGAGAAAACACTAGATAATAGAAAAAAGAGGAGCATTATTTCTTTTTCTGTCATGACAGAGTAAGGGAGAATAAATTCCCCACGTTATTTGCCGCAGAGAAAACCGGAAGCCTCTTCTAAATAAATCAACAAAAAATAAAAAGATTTTTAAAAAACCCAAACGCACGGAAATTGTTAAGCGCCTGAACGCTTCACAAACACTGCAGGAATTTAGATTTTAGAGAGTTGGAGATGGCAGACCTGGCTCTGTGCTTTCCTCAGTGGAAAGAGCCTTCCTCTGATATAAGATGCTCTTTTAAAACTTACCACATACCTTTATTCATTTATTTACTTAATACAGACCCTCCCTTTCTCACCAATGGGGACCCAAAGCAGCTGACATCATTCGCCTCTCTTCCAATTCATCCTCACAACAACCCTGTGAGGCAGGTTAGGCTACCTCCCCTGTATTTTAATTTTTCGAAAAAAAATTTTACCTCCGTGATAGCTCACCTTTCTCCACAATAGGGACCCAAGGTGGCTTACCGAATTCTCTCAGAATCGTAGAGTCGGAAGGGACCTCCAGGGTCGTCTAGTCCAACCCCCTGCACAAGGCAAGAAATTCACAATTACCTCCCCCCCCACGCCCCCAGGGACCCCTGTTCCACGCCCAGAAGAGGGTAAAAAACCTCCAGGATCCCCGGCCAAAGTGGCCTGGAGAAAAATTACTCCATGACCAATGCTCCCTCTAAGGTCTTTCACATCACCTCCTACCTGGCACTTTTGCCTGGAGATGCCGAGGACTGAAAAAGAAGAGATTGGATTTATACCCCGCCCTTCACTCGGAGTCTCAGAGCGGCTTACAAACTCCTCTCCCTGCCCCTCCCCACAACAGACACCCTGTGAGGGAGGTGGGGCTGAGAGAGCTCTTGAGAGAACTGCCCTTGAGAGAACAGCTCTGAAAGGACATATGACTGACCCAAGTTCACCCAGCTGGCTGCATGTGGAGGAGTGGGGAATCAAACCCGGTTCTCCCAGACCAGAGTCCGCGCACTTAACCACGACACCAAACTGAACCCAAGACCTTCTACCTACCAAGCAGATGCTCTGTCATCGAGCCATGGCCCCTCCTCCTTCTCCTCCATTTTATCCTCACAACAATCCTGTAAGGTAGGTTAGGCTGTGACTGGCCTACGTTCACCAAGCGAACTGACATGGATGAGAAGGGATTCGAACCTGGGTCGTCCAGTTCCTAGCCCAACACTCTAACCTCTACAGCACACTGGCTCTCATCTTAAGAGGGCAAGAACGTAAGAGACGCCAATGTTGGATCAGGCCAATGGCCCCTCCAGTCCAACAGTCTGTGTCACACAGTGACCAGAAATACCAGGTGCCCTCAGGAGGTCCACCAGTGGGGCCAGGACACCAGAAGCTCCTCCCACTGTTGACCCCCCCCCCAAGCACCAAGAATACAGAGCATCCCTTGCCCCAGACCTAGAGTTCCTATCTCTACCTTGTGGCTAATAGCCACTGATGGACCTCTGCTCCATATGCTTATCCAGTTCCCTCTTATAAGAACATAAGAGAAGCCAACGTTGGATCAGGCCAATGGCCCATCCAGTCCAACACTCTGTCACACAGTGGCCAGAAATACCAGGTGCCATCAGGAGGTCCAGCAGTGGGACCAGGACACCAGAAGCCCTCCCACTGTTGCCACCCCCCACCCCAAGCACCAAGAATACAGAGCATCCCTTGCCCCAGACCTAGAGTTCCTATCTCTACCTTGTGGCTAATAGCCACTGATGGACCTCTGCTCCATATGCTTATCCACCCCCCCCCCAAGCACCAAGAAGACAGAGCATCCCTTGCCCCAGGTTGATAGTTCCTATCTATACCTTGTGGCTCACAGCCACTGATAGACCTCTGCTCCATATGTTCATCCAAGTCCTTCTTATAAGAACATAACAGAGAAGCCAATGTTGGATCAGGCCAATGGCCCATCCAGTCCAACACTCTGTCACACAGTGGCCAGAAATACCAGGTGCCCTCAGGAGGTCCACCAGTGGGGCCAGGACACCAGAAGCCCTCCCACTCTTGCCCCGCCCCCCAAGCACCAAGAATACAGAGCATCCCTTGCCCCAGAGTCCCTATCTATACCTTGTGGCTAATAGCTGTGGTCATTTCTATCACAGGAAGGCATTTCACGAGGAAGGCTTTTTTTTTTACCCAAACTTGCAGGTGCTCTTAACTTGCCCTTACACAGGAAATCATTTCAATGGGAATACTTGGAGCTTTAGAAACTTTGTGAACAGGCAGAGGCTTTGCACCAAGCGGCTTAGAATACTTGTGGAATTCTGACAGAACGTAAAATGGCAAAAGTGTTGGAACGCATGTAAGTTGCAACCCAGGAGAGAAGGAGGCGTGGTGTAGCCCCATCTTGTCAGATCTCAGAAGCTAAGCAGAGCCAAGACTTGGAGGGGAGACCGCCGAGGAAGGCGCTGCAGAAGAAGGCGATGGCAGACCACCTCTGCTTCTCCCTTGACTTGAAGGTCCCTTGCTGGGATCACCAGAAGCTGGAAGCTAAGCAGGGTCGGTACTCAGATGGGAGACCACCAAGAAAGGCTCTGCAGAGAAAGGCAATGGCAAACCACCTCTGCTTCTCACTTGACTTGAAGATCCCTTGTTGGGATCACCAGAAGTTGGAAGCTAAGCAGGGTCGGTACTCAGATGGGAGACCACCAAGAAAGGCTCTGCAGAGAAAGGCAATGGCAAACCACCTCTGCTTCTCACTTGCGCAGAAAGAAGAAGAGGAGAAGGAGGCTGGATTTGTACCCCGCCATTCACTCAGTGTCTCAGAGCGGCTTACAAGCTCCTACCCCTTTGTTATCAGAGCAATTTTTCTTAAATAATGTCTCCTTTCCATTATTTTCATTTTGCGTGGAGTAGAATTCCCTTACTGAAGCTCAAATACTTTGGCCACTAAATGAGAAGGGAGCACTCACTGGAGAAGACCCTGATGCTGGGAAAGACTGAAGGTCAAAGAAGACGGGGACGGCAAAGGATGAGATGGTTGGACAGTGTCATAGATGCAACGAACATGAAATGGAGCAAACTTCAGAGGACGGCGGAAGACAGGAGGGCCTGGAGTGAACTGGTCCATGGGGTCGCGAAGAGTCGGACTCGACTGTGCGACTGAACAACAACAACAAGAGTTCCCTTGCGCTATCACAGCTGAACACTGAAAAACCAGCACGCCTTAACTAATAAGACCCTCCTAGAGCTGGATAACAAAATCATGGCCAACTGCCCGCGTCCATCACTCCTGCTTCACAGGGTGTCTCCACTTTGAACTAGTATCTCCAAAGAGTCTTGCGAGTACCCTCCCCCCACACACACACACACAGAGGTTGAAAAGCAAGACCACGTTCAGAGCACAAAGAAACACAACTCACAGCTGCATGGCCAGGTAGAGATGCGTGGGGCTCTCATAGAAGTCCTCCAGAGCCACAATGTTCTCATGTTGAATCCTGCAATACCAAGGACATTAACGTACGTCAGAGATGGGAGACCCCGACTTGGATGGCCCAGGCTGGCCCGATCCCGTCAGACCTCGGAAGCTAAGCAGGGCCGGCCATGGTTAGTACTTGGAGGGGAGACCACCAAGGAAGTCCAGGGTCGGTACGCAGAGGCAGGCCTCTCTGGCCTTGACCTCCAAAGGAAGTTTAGAAAACTTATTGAGGGCCTAAAGTTAAAAACCTAAGTAAGTGTACAAAAGAGTGTTTATTAGTGTACACAAGAGTGTTTATTACAAAGACATATAAAAACCTAGCAGGGGCCCAAATAAAGCCTCATAAAATGTTCAACGTTACAAATACACACAAAAAAGGAACAGTGCATGACCTGACGCGTTTCGGCTCACGAGAGCCTTCTTCAAAAATGCAAAAAAGCGACAGAGTCCCTGTAACACATGGAAGGCAATTAACCACAGATAAAATAGGACCAAAACTGGAATGTTCCAATATGGAGTTGAATGACACACCGAAAAGTTTCTATTTGGGGCCACAAATATTTCTGGCCTCGTGTCAGCAGTAGTCGTATATACTGGAAATAATATCTACCTTCCAGTTTAGGTCCTAAGAGTGCAAATAAAATTGACCTCTCGGGGACAATGTGGCATCAATATGCAGAGGCGGGCCATGGCAAACTACCTCTGTTCGTCTCTTGCCTTGACCTGGATGGCCCAGGCTGGCCTGATCTTGGCAGATCTTGGAAGCTAGGCAGGGCCGGCCCTGGTTAGTCCTTGGAGGGGAGACGGCCAAGGAAGTCCTGGGTTGCTATGCAGAGGCAGGCAAGGAAATAAGAACATAAGAGGAGCCAATGTTGGATCAGGCCAAAGGCCTATCCAGTCCAACACTCTGTGTCACACAGTGGCCAAAAATACCAGGTGCCCTCAGGAGGTCCACCAGTGGGGCCAGGACACCAGAAGCCCTCCCAGCTACGCCCCCCCCCAATGGCTCTGGCCACTCCCCGTGGCCAGGAATGTGGGTAACGGAAGGCTTGCAAGCATGTGGATTGGGAATAGCAGCAGTGGTTCCCCACAGGAAGCCCGGGGACCAGGCAACTGCCCGGCCCTGGCGTTTTCTGAAGCAGCCTCAGCTCATAGAGTCTTATCTGGCTCACAGAGAAAGGTAAAGGTAAAGGTTCCCTTGCTCGAAAGCCAGTCGAATCCGACTCGAGGGTTGCGGTGCTCATCTCCGTTTCAAAGCCGAAGAGCCAGCGCTGTCCGAAGACGTTTTCCGTGGTCACGTGGCCGGCATGACTAAACACCGAGGCGCACGGAACGCTGTTCCCTTCCCACCGAAGTGGTACCTATTTATCGACATGCAATTTCTTGCTTTCGAACTGCTGGGTTGGCAGGAGCTGGAACTAGAGACGGGAGCTCACTCCGTCATGCGGCAACTCAGGTCTCGAACTGCTGAACTACTGACCTTCCACAGCCTGCAGTTCAGCGTCTTAACCATTTGAGCCACCGCAGCTCCTTCACAGAGAAAACTGAGTGGGAATACCATGCGAACGAGGAGGAAGAGGAGGAGGAGGGGGTGGGGGAGGACGAGGAGATTGGATTTATATACCCCGCCCTTCCTTACCCAAAGGAGTCTCAGAGCGGCTTACAATCCCCTTTCCCTTCCCCTCCCCACAACAGACACCCTGTGAGGTGGGTGGGGCTGAGAGAGCTCTTTCGAGGACTGCCTGTGAGAGAAAAGCTCTGAGAGAACTTGTGACTGACCCAAGGTCACACCAGCAGCTGCATGTGGAGGAATGGGGAATCATACCCAGTTCTCCCAGATTAGAGTCCACCGTTCCTAAACACTACACTAAACTGGCTCTAAGACAGTAGACAGCAGGATGCAAAAACCCACTCTGTAAGACCTCTCACGCAGCTCCCCACAGACCCAATAGATCCACCTGTGGTCCGTTCCATGTCGGGCTCAAACCTGCAGTTTGAGCCAGTTTGGTGTAGTGGTTAAGTGTGCAGACTCTAATCTGGGAGAACCAGGTTTGATTCCCCACACCTCCACTCGCAGCTGCTGGATGACCTTGGGCAAGCCATAGTTCTGATAAGAGCTGTTCTTGAAAAAGAGCCGTTTCTCTCAGAGCTCTCTCATCCCCACCTACCTCACAGGGCGTCTGTTGTGGGGAGGGGAAGGGAAAGGAGTTTGCAAGCCGTTCTGAGACTCCAAGTGAAGGGCGGGGGATAGATCCAATCTCTTCTCTTCTCTCTTCTGCATGAAAATCACATCCTGCAACCCCAAAAGCCCTACTCCCAGAATAGTTACTGGTTATTCAATAACTCTCTGTGCATGCTCAGAGATACTCTTCTGACCTTTGTATTTCCCCACATGACTCAGGGCTGCATCCGGGGAACCGAAAACAGTTTTCTAGAAATCCAGCACCGATTCAGTGTCTGCTCTGAAAAGGACATGCATGTTCACTTACTTCTTGAGTACCGCAATTTCATTCTCCACCGCTGCTTCCTTGCCCCTCAGGGCTTTCTTCGGAATACATTTTAACGCCACCAAACGCTGGGATCCATGTTCCTGGGCCAGAACCACTTCGGAGAAGGCCCCTCTGACCAGCAGAAGGAAGCAGGAGGTCAAATAAAAGAGTGGGAAAAACATTTGCCTCGTTATTACATTAGAAAGAGAAATCCAAGTCATTGCGTTAATTGCATCGGCAAGACAAACTAAAATTCCTAACGTGCAGAGCTTGCTTTTCAGAGTCACAAACTCTTCCCCGTGGCTGAGAATTAAAACAAAACTGTGGGGGAACAAACAGCGTGCAGCTGTTTAAGATTCAAGAAGCTATTGGGGGGGGGGAGTACTAAAGGTCAACGTCTCTCTGAAAGTATTTCAAAAATCACCAGTTTGAATGTCACTGTTTAAATAAATCAAATACTCGGAGGAGGGGTGGTTGTACAAATTATCTGAGTGGAACCAAACTCTAGAAATGACGCAGCCTTACGTGGGTTTTTTGCTCAAAAGTGGGCACAGAAACACCAAGCTGGAAGGGACCTCAAGGGTCATCTAGTCCAACCCCCTGCACAAGGCAGGGAGTTCAAAACTACCTCCCCCACACACACTTCCTCAGTGACCCCCGTTTAGGGACACCAGCCTCCAGGTGGGACCTGGAGATCCCCTGGAATTAGAGCTCATCTCCAGACCAGTGTTCCCTCTAAGCTGAGTTAGTGTGAGCCAGCTCACAGTTTTTTAGCCTCCGGCTCACATATTTTTGTCTTTGCTCAGGACGGATGGGCTCCAGAGCAAACAAATTTTTGCAGCAGCCAAACCGCTCGCTCACAACTTTAATGCCAGTAGCTCACAAAGTAGGATTTTTGCTCACAAGACTCCACAGCTTAGAGGGAACATTGCACTGCAGAGGAGGAAACGGATGCTTTGGAGGGTGGACCAAGGCTCCCTCTAAGCTGTGGAGTCTTGTGAGCAAAAAAATCTACTTTGTGAGCCACTGGCATTAAAGCTGGGAGCAAGCGATTTGGCTACTGCATCAATTATTTTGCTCTGGAGCCCTCCTTCCCTGAGCTTGGACAAAAATCTATGAGCTGGAGGCTAGAAAAACTGTGAGCTGGCTCACACTGACTCAGCTTAGAGGGAACACTGGGGCGGACTCGATGGCGTTGTACCCCACCGAGGCCCCTGTCCTCCCAGTCTCCATCCCCAAAATCTCCAGGAGTTTAACAACCTGGAGCTGGCCACCCTAACCCCCCATCCCCCCCCCAGTGGCCATGGGGGGGACCTAGCCACCCAACCCCCGGCTCTATCCCCACAGGAAGGCCATAAACCTCCAGGATTCCCGGGCCAATCTTGCCTGTGGAGATCCTGGCACAGACCAGGGGGTCACGGGGGAGTGTGCGGAGAAGGTAGCTGTGAATTTAGGAGCTTCCCCGATTCTCAGCCCTGTGACCCAAGTATTGTGTAGAAGAAGAAGAAGAGATTGGATTTATATCCCGCCCTTCACTACCAGAAGGAGTCTCAGAGCGGTTTACAAACTCCTTTCCCTTCCCCTCCCCACAACAGACACCCTGTGAGGGAGGTGGGGCTGAGGGAGCTCTCTCGAGGACTGCCCTCGAGAGAACAGCTCTGAGAGAACTTGTGATGGACCCAAGCAGCAGCTGCATGTGGAGGAGTGGGGGGATTGGATCAAAGAAGAAGAAGAAGAGACTGGATTTATACCCCGGCCTTCACTACCCAAAAGAGTCTCAGAGCGGCTTACGATCTCCTTTCCCTTCTCCTCCTCACAAAAGACACCCTGTGAGGGAGGTGGGGCTGAGGGAGCTCTCTCGAGGACTGCCCTCTAGAGAACAGCTCTGAGAGTACTTGTGACGGACCCAAGGTGGAGGAGTGGGGGGGATTGGATCAAAGAAGAAGAAGAGAAGAAGAGATTGGGTTTATACCCCGCCCGTCACTACCCGAAGGAGTCTCAGAGCGGCTCACAAACTCCTTTCCCTTCCCCTCCCCACAACAGACACCCTGTGAGGGAGGTGGGGCTGAGGGAGCTCTCTCGAGAACTGCCCTCGAGAGAACAGCTCTGAGAGAGCTTGTGACTGACCCAAGGTCACACCCGCAGCTGCATGTGGAGGAGTGGGGGGGATTGGATCAAAGAAGAAGAAGAGATTGGGTTTATACCCCGCCCGTCACTACCCGAAGGAGTCTCAGAGCGGCTCACAAACTCCTTTCCCTTCCCCTCCCCACAACAGACACCCTGTGAGGTAAAAGAAGAAGAAGAGATTGGGTTTATACCCCGCCCGTCACTACCCGAAGGAGTCTCAGAGCAGCTTACGATCTCCTTTCCCTTCTCATCCCCTCAAAACACACCCTGTGAGGTAGGTGGGGCTGAGGGAGCTCTCTCAAGGACTGCCCTTGAGAGAACAGCTCTGAGAGAGCTTGTGACTGACCCAAGGTCACACCAGCAGCTCCATGTGTTGGAGTGCGGGGGATCAAACCCGGTTCTCCCAGATTAGAGCCCGTGCTCCTAACCACTACACCAAACTGGCCTATCATAAATTCACATCAAATAGCAGCATGCAACTTCGCATCCGTGGCGGCCGACCTGCCGTCGCTTGTGCGCACGCATGTGACACATTGTCCCTTGATGCTGGGGGAGGGGGAGACGGGGACAACAACCGGCAAGCATGCACGGTTGGCGTGGAACTCGCTTGCTTAGGCAGACGTGTTTGTGGGGGGGGGGGCACGATTCGTACTCCAGAGCAGTGTTCCCTCTAAGCTGAGTCAGTGTGAGCTAGCTCACAGTTTTTTAGCCTCCGGCTCACACATTTTTGTCTTAGCTCAGGAAGAAGGGCTCCAGAGCAAACTAGTTTGTGCAGTGGCCAAATCACTCGCTCACAACTTTAATGCCAGTAGCTCACGAAGTAGAATTTTTGCTCACCAGACTCCACAGCTTAGAGGGATCATTGCTCCAGAGCGCTTTTTAAGAACGGTCCAGGTCCCGCGGCCTCTCAAAGTGGCACACGCTTGGCCCGATCCTACCATTCCCCACCCCGCATCATCCCCCTTCCAAATTAAAGAAGAAGTCGAGACTCTCAGACTCGGCTAGGAAAGGGTTACGCCACCATTAGCGACTCTTCCGTCTCCTTTCCCGCCCCACTCCAATTCCCCAGACGCGTGGGCTATTCTTGGCCCCTCGTGCACGTCAGAGATGTCTGGGTGGCCCCTCGGCCAATGGGAGGAGAGCATGCAAATGAGAGCGCATCGGGCTGCCGCATTCTGGAGTCCCTCTGCAGGAAGCGGCCTACGTCCACCCACTAGGGCAGGCGAGGCTGAAGGCTGGGGGGGGGGAGGCCTAGGGAGCAGCAGACTCGTGTTCCCTCTACGCTGAGTGACTGCGAGCTCGCTCACCGTTTTTTAGCCTCCGGCTCACACCCTTTTGCCTTCGCTCAGGAAGGAGGGCTCCAGCGCCAACTCACTGATGCAGCCGCCACATCGCTCGCTCACGACTTGAATGCCGGTCGCTCACAAAGCGGAATTTTTGCTCACAGGACTCCACAGCTTAGAGGGAGCGTTGGAGCAGACCTGGGGGCGCTAGGGTACGGTGGACAACAGCGTCCATCCCACACAAATCAACGCCTGTTAGCGTGTTCTTTCCCCATGGGAAAAGCATTCCTTCGTGCATGGCGTTCCCCCACAACCACCGTTGCCCAGGAGTGACGCTAAGCAGGGATGTGAAATTACAACTTCAAGTAGCTTTAAGACAGGGTGAGGGAGGACAGGTTTTTCCCCTAGTTTTTCAGGCTAGGAAAGAGGAGCGTCTGGCAGAGACGGGGCGGATGGGGTGGGTGGGGGTGAGCCGCTTGGAGACCACACAAGCTGCCCTTCCGGGGCCTTGACCGCGAATGCCGCCTCAGCGCAGTGCCAAACGGCACCGGCGGTGCCACACCCTCCTCTCTGGGCAGGCCTCTCTGTCCACTTACGCGCCCAGCTTCTCCTTGATGTCGTAGACGGCCGTGATGTCCTCCACCTTCTTCTTCCAGCCTTTCCCGAACGGCATGGCGGAGAGCGAGGGGTGACGGAGGCAGGATGCGCTGCGGAGACGTGGGAAGAAGAGGAGGGAAAAGAAGTGTACACATGCGCCAAAGGGTCAGCAAATGGGGGGGTCAGCCTATTCCCATGACTTTTTGGACCAAAAACACCTCAGGGATTCCTACGTCACGGCCTACTGAAAAATCCGCCCACCGGGATATGTGGGAGGCTGTGGCGGTACTTCCAAAAGGCCTTCGCCACAGACGCATGTATGAATGCTGGGCGCGATTCTAGCATGGCGCCGATGAGGTTGGAGCGTCAGAACAAGATCTGGGACGGCTGGCCTGAAATCATCACTCGGAGACGGATCCTGACTGAGCGATGCCAGGCCGGCCATTCTCTCTCCCTAACCCGCCTCACAAGGTTGTTGTGAGGGTAAAGTAAGGGGAAACCGCAACGGCCACTAGGAGGGGGGGTCAAGTACAAAATGGCCGCTGCAGCACCACACGGAGGAAGCCAAAGTGCAGGCTCCAAGAGAAGTAATTTTAAAAATATAAAAATATACTTGGTGACCGCCTGTTCATGTTGGGGACCCCTGTTCTAGAGCTGTAATACTCCCTCAGCGACATCGAAGAAGAAGAAGAGGAGGAGGAGGAAGAGATTGGATTTATACCCGGCCCTTCACTACCCAAAGGTGTCTCAGAGCAACTTACAATCTCCTTCCCCTTCCCCTCCCCACAACAGACACCCTGGGAGGTAGGTGGGGCTGAGAGCGCTCTCTCAAGGACTGCCCTTGAGAGAACAGCTCTGAGAGAACTTGTGACTGACCCAAGGTCACCCCACCAGCTGCAAGTGGAGGCGTGGGGAATCAAACCCAGTTCTCCCACATGAGAGTCCACACACCTAACCACTACACCGAACTGGCTCTCAGGGTCCCCCCTCTCACATGAATGCCTCAGACCACACATGATTTCTCCTCAGGGCCATCTTTTGCTGGGTGGGAGGTGGTCTTACACACGTCTCTGCTGTCCTCTGGGCTGAATTGTGACAACAATGGCGCTTCCATGTGGCAAAGTTTCTCCTGTTTTGGGGCGGAAATGCCCATAATGGGGAAACACTGAACCACACGAAACATTTCCTCACATAAGGTATCAGCGGTTGAGCCGTATCCCCACAGGAACCATCAGATTGAAGGCGGTTTGAGAAGGCACAGAGAAACTCCAGGGAAACCTCAGAAAGACAAGAAACGGAAAACGGGGACCACCACCACCCCGGGTGCACAAAGAGAAACCACTGTGGTCAGGACCAGTGTTCCCTCTCAGCTGAGTGAGTGTGAGCTAGCTCACAGTTTTTTAGCCTCTGGCTCACACATTTTTATCTTAGCTCAGGAAGGACGGCTCCTGAGCAAACTGATTTATGCAGCAGCCAAACTGCTCGCTCACAACTTTAATGCCAGTAGCTCACAGAGTAGAATTTTTGCTCACAAGACCCCACAGCTTAGAGGGAGCACTGGTCAGGACGTAGAGATGCCACCTTCCAGGTAGGTTAAATATCAAAACTGCAGCAACCGTGTGCTAAACTATATACAAAGCATAAACTCTACTAACACTTTTAACGCTATAAACTCTTTTAACACTTTCTACAATCGCTTATATACGATATTTTATTGGGATACTTTAAGTATAAAGTCAAGGCAATGGGATACAAAACATAAATGGTAAATTACATCAGATATGCAACGTGTGCCCCGCAGGGCTATAAGTCGAAGTGGAAACCTTGAGGTGACAAAGATGCGAGAACCAGTGTAACCTCGCTTTGGATGCCTTCTTCGGGTCCCACAGAGAAAAATGTCAGCTTATAGTCCTGTGGGGCACATTTTGTATATTTGAGGTAATTTACAATGTATGTTTTGTATCACATCGACTTTAAGTAACAGTAAAGGTTTCCCTTGCTCGAAAGCCAGTCTAATCTGACTCTAGGGGGCAGTGCTCATCTCCGTTTCCAAGCCGAAGAGCCAGCATTTTCCGAAGACGTTTCCAAGGTCTTGTGACCGGCATGACTAAATGCCGAGGCGCACAGAACGCTGTTACCTTCCCATCGAAGCGGTACCTATTTATCTACTTGCAATTTCTTGCTTTCGAACTGCTAGGTTGGCAGGAGCCGGGGCCAGAGACGGGAGCTCACTCCGTCCCACGGCACTCGGGTCTCGAACTGCCGAACTACAGACCTTCCCGGTCTGCAGCTCAGCATCTTAACCTCTGAGCCACTGTGGCCCCTACACTGACTTTACTTTATACTTAAAATATCACAATACAATATCATATATAAGTGACTGCAAGAAGTATTAAAAGAAACGCTTTCTATATAGTTTCACACACAGTGCTGTAGTTTTGATGTTAAGCCTAAATACGCCGTAGTCGTCTTGTTGCATTCTGCACCCTCCAGGTAGCGCCTGGAGTTTCCCTGTTATTACAACGGCTCTCCAGAGGCCAGCGATCAGTTCTCCTGGACGAAAGGCCAGCTTCAGAGGGCAGATTCTGTGGTATATCATAGAGACCGCCGATTTCCTCTTTCTCCAAACTCTACCCTTCCCGCGGAACCATCCCCAAACCTCTAGGAATTCCCAAAATCACAGTTGGCAACCTTTGTTAGGAGCCCAAGCGGATATAAGCGACCCTGGTGAGGAGGGTTGCCAACTACCAGGTGGCGACTGGAGAGCTCCCAGAACTGATTTCCAAATGACTTAAACCGTTCGTTCATTATTAAGAACATAAGAGAAGCCAATGCTGGATCAGGCCAAGGACACAGTGGCCAGAAATACCAGGTGCCCTCAGGAGGTCCAGCAGTGGGGCCAGGACATTAGAAGCCCTCCCACTGTTGCCCCCCCCCCCCAAGCACCAAGAATACAGAGCATCCCTTGCCCCAGGTTGGGAGCTCCTAAGAACATAAGAGAAGCCAGTGGTGGATCAGGCCAGTGGACCATAC